ACGGCTATCGGATAGAGTAAAATCGCAACTGATAATTTGAGAAAATAAAAATGAAGATAAAAGAGACACAAAATTTACGTGGAAAACCCCTGAATAATATAGGGTAAAAACCACGGGCAACGGTAGAAGAATTTCACTATGAGAAAATAGGAATTACAACTTCTCTCAATCTACCAAGGAGAAAACAATGATAATTCTCTCTTGATATAAAGGAGAAAACAACTCTCAAGAAACTCTCTAGTATTGGAAGAAAGCTAGAATGCTTTGGGATGGTTTTGAAGCTAAATGAGCTAGGGTATTTATAGTTGAATCATAATGACTAATTTATAAATATCCTAAAGTTTAATGACTAAAGTTTGTAATTTCCCCTTTCATTTTTTCAACAAATTGCTGCACCTTTTTTACTATGCATCATTCGGTGCATTTGTTTATTTTTTTTCTTTCAAATTTCAACTTGCACCTTTCGGTGCATTGAATTTTCTACACCTTGTTCGATCGCTTGGCACTAAGTCTGTCTAAAAACCCTAACTCTATTACTTAGTTTAGTCGTTGAAGCAAAAACAAAGGGATGCACGAGGAAGAAAAGAAAAACAGGAATTTGATAAGAATGTCTAAGATTTTTACGATAAACAAACATGTACCATGAGAGTGGGAAGTCCCCCTTGTATAATGAAATTTCCCTTGCATTCTATGGCTAAACCTAATCTAACTACAAGAACAATTCTACTCTAGTTGAGACTCTAAAGCTGGAGTTCTACTTGAACAAGGAAGATGATGTGTTTGATAAGAATTATACTTGTTAAGGCCCCCTGTCGGTGTTGGTCGTGACCCTATGCGCACCTTGGGTGTGCGCTCGTCTCGACCACAGGCTCCTAGGCAATCTAGGGCGTATTTGTCTCGACCCCGTGTGTTGCCTGGTGCTCGCTCGCCTCGGTCGCATGCTCGTGGGCAACCTGGTTCACGCTTGGCCTGGCCTCATGCTCGCAGGCCATGACATTATATTTTAGGTTAAACTATGCCAATAGTTCTCGTTGTTTCCAGTCTGATCGACTTTGGTCACCAGTTTTCTTAATTAAGTGTGCTTAGTCTCTTACGTTATCGGTATGTCGGGTTCAACTCCCTCAACCGTTAACTTCCATTAACCCATTAACGGAAGTCTGAGTTGGCAATTTTAAAAATAAACAAATCCACATAAGTCACCTTAAAATGACGTGGAAATTAAAAAAGTATTAAAAAATAAAAAGTTTCTAAAAATTTTCCAAATTTTTTAAAATTATTAAACAAATCCATCCGCTTCTTCTTTTCCATTTCGAAACAAAAAAAAAACGAAGGAACCTGAAAATCAAGAAATCAAAATCTATTTTAGAAAGGTATTTTGTTTAGTTAATTTGGCAACATTTTCGAAATCAAAGGAAAAAGGGGAAGGGTTAGTCTGTTACCTTCGTAGTTAAAGTCCTTGTCAGAGTTGTGGCCGTCGGAAGATGAGGAGACAGGGGTCCTTTGGCCGTTGTGAGACTTATATGTCGATTGGGGTTTTTGCTTTAAAGAGTTAAAGCAAAGAAGAGAGGGATATAAGGTGGTAAAGATGTTTCTTCAGGTAATAGATAGGATGTTTAAAGTTCAGAGAAAATGTTCATAGAGACAGATTCTAGAAAAATGAAATAGGATGTCCAATGTGTTCCCATAAAACATAAATAATGTATATATAGTTTAAAAATTGTAGTAGTTTATTTCAGGTAACATATTTTTAAAATCACTGTAATACTCTCGACCCGAACACTCCATATGCATTACCCCAGAACTATAAGGAATTACCAGCTGAATCAGGGCTGAACCTGAGAACTCCAGAAGTTACCTAGACAATACCCAATAAAAATAAGATATTAACGTAGCCAGTAATATCAGAGATCATGAGCCAGATATATTATATATTAGAAAACAAATAGCAAAGATCAAGATTTTATCTAAATTTCAGAGTTACCCTCTAACCAAACACTCAACATGAAGTAACCCATAACTGTAAAGAATTATCAGCTTGATCAGAATTGAACCTCATAACTTCAGAATCCTACCCATATACAGTACCACAACAAAACAATTTCAGACAGTGCTAGTAATATCAAAATCAAGAGCCAGATGTATCTCATATAATAAACCAGAGATCAGAAATCATGTTTTTATTTCAAAAATCGGAATCATATTTTATTTTAATATTTTTACAAATCAAAGAAAACATTTTTATTCGTAGGGAACACACTAGAGGTCCAGATATTTTTCAGAGGCACTTGATAGTTATCAGGAACAGAAAATATGAAAATTATGTAAATTGATCGGATTTCAGGAACGAGGTCCCTATTAAAATGAATCAATTACAAACGGATCTAATAAGACATTTAGAATTGATACTTAATGACCATTTAGGATTCAAGTGTATTAGGAACCTTTACATCAGAATAATTTAAGATTCAGATATATTTGGAAGTAGTTAGTATATATATATATATATATATATATATATATATATATATGGAGAGATTCCATTACTCAGCTTGATAGTGGTATTTTTAACATTTTGATTCCCGAAGAATTTTTTATACCTATATCTAATCATGATAAAATGATGATTAATGATATCTAGAATTTATATTGAATTAACCAAATTTTGAGTTAGATCAGACTAATCATATATATCTATGCATTTATCCAATATCAATATGTTCTAAAAAGCATGCAAAGAGGTAGTAAAATATTACCTCAATTTTCAAGCCACACCAGTCAATTATTTCAACTCCATTCAATCGCCTTCAGACTTGGATTTGACGTCCAAAAATATATCGGATACATAACAATATAAATTACATCAAAAATGGATCTTAAACGAGAAAAATAGATCAAGTCAAAAGATAAAATGCTAAAAAACAACTTATCGGGTTCGAATTTGGTGAAACAGACCCCAGAAATGAACTCATGACATTGAAAATCATCAGGATAGGTGGTCCCAAAAAAGTTAACGTTCGGTAACGCCAGTCAACGGTAATGGCCAGTAAACGGTCAACATTCTACTCACCACTCAGCTCGGCTCGGCTGGAAACTCGACTCGACTCGACTCACCACTCAGCTTGGCTCAGGCGGTCTAGACCGGTTCAAACCGGTCTAGCTTATTTAACAAATTCTCCTGCTTGTAAACGACGCCCACGCGTAGGGGTGGCGCTTGCGACGTGTGTAGCAACTCCAGTGGTTGAACGACGATCAAATTTTCCAGATCTGTAGATCATCAGTTTGGGATTCTCATGCAAGAATCAATTCGCAACGAAGAGCTGTGAAATAAACATCAAACTAACAGTCAAATCTTTGATATGCTCACCTCCCTTCACGACAATGGCAGCGACGACACCCCAACCGGTTGATTCCTCTCAATGCCAAGAACACAACGGTGTCAGTGGTGTAGCAATCGAAATCTTGGACAACGACAAAATAACAGTGGGAGCTTTCTTGAAGAGAAAAATGAGAAAATAAGAAAGAGAGAAAATAAATGGGTTTCTAATTTTGAGAAGTTTCCAAACATGTGGAGGGATTTAAATCCATTTTACCCAAAAAATGATATATTACTCTTCAAGTTCTCATATTTTACGGACGGTGCCTACCCTAAAATTTTATTTGTACCTATCTCATTTAAATTTTTATGTTGTTAACATATGTGTCATTCTGGAAAATATTTCTGGAGCTGTCACTATTTAGAGATGATAAATGAGACTCAAAGAGAAGGAAGAGAACCCTAGTAGGTCTAGAACCCATAACCTAAAGAAATACGCATAAATAGATATAAGAAATCTGATTCACCAGTCAAATGTGCTTAGTAACATGTATTTTCTTTTTGATATGAACTATAAGTGTTTACCATCTACCCTTTAACAATCCTTAAACGAATTTCATCAAATTTTGCGAGACCAAGGTTAAGCTAGAATATTACTTGGTCCAAGTGCTTGGTGGTGAAAGTTATACCATTTTGAATTAAAATGCATCTTTCTCACATTTTCTTTCAAGATTAAAAAGATTTGTTATTCCACGTTAGGACGAAAAATTATCAACTCCCTATCTTTTTAATCACTTTTATTTTTTACCAAATGCACTTCAAAATTGATGCATCTTTCTAACATTTTCTTTCAAAGGTTAAAAAGATATGTTTTTACACGTGAGGATAAAAAAATATTATCTCTCGATTTCTTTAAATCACTTTTCTTTTTGCCAAACAAATTTTAAAATTGTACAAATGAAATTTAATCTATTATATTTTAATAGAGATGTGAGTTTGATGAATTTAGTAAAGATTCATCTCACTTCACGCCAGCGGTGGATGCATATTCATTAGGGTGGATACGTTTCTACTTAAAATTTTTAAAATTTAATTTTTTTTTAAATTTAAAGTTTTCTTCATTAGTACATGTGTGGACACTAAAATTCTGGTGTCACTCTAAAATTTTATCGTATTAAAAAATTATATTATTAATATATATATACTCTAAAAAAAATTCTAGATCTCCTAATTAGACAAAAATGTGTAGTAGGATATGGACAAGAACAAAATTTAGACTAATTGTAGGTGCTAAGACAGACGTAATTATGATTTCATACATGTCCCATCCCTATTCATCATACATAATTATTCACATTTAGATATCATTTTAAGTTATTAGCGTTATATTAAATTATATTTTAATTTATCACTTGTAAATATTTTTTTTGAAATGACCAATTATAAATATATAACTCAATGGATAATTCATTGACAATACATGAATTAATAACATAATTTCACCAAGAATCAAATGGACGAATTCAGAAAAATTGAGAGTCAAGAAAGAACTCGGCCGCCATATATGAAAGTCTGGAAATCAATTAAAAGAACCCTTCAAAATAATCTAGAGGTTTTCAAATATAGTTTTGAAAAACTCGAAAGAAATCATTGTCAATGTTCTATGCAAAACGATGCTATAAATATAGAGCTTTCTCGTTTCATTTTTACACCCAGAAAACAAAAATTAAAGCTTAAGAAATGAAGTCCCCACAGTTTTCGCTGTTAGTTCCTCTTGTTTTGGCTGCTCTGTTCTCGTTTTCATGGGCTGCTTTGCCTCATGAAAATTTCCTTCACTGCCTTTCCCTTCGTTCAAATGATTCTTCTTCCATTTCCAGAGTGGTTTTCACACGACAAAATTCTTCTTATGAATCTGTTTTGGAAGCCAGGATACGTAATCTCAGGTTCAACTCCACGGATACCCCAAAACCTTTGGTTATTGTAACACCCACCGAGATATCCCATATTCAAGCTACCATTTATTGTTCAAGAAAACATGGGTTGCAAACAAGAACCAGAAGCGGCGGCCACGATTACGAAGGTCTTTCGTTTGTCGCCAGAGTCCCCTTCGTCGTCATCGACTTGATCAATTTCCGATCGGTGGACATCGACGTTGAAAACAGAGTTGCTTGGGTTCAATCCGGTGCCATACTAGGTGAACTTTATTACAGGATCGCAGAAAGAAGTAGAACTCTCGCCTTCCCAGGTGGCGTTTTCTATACAATCGGAGTCGGCGGCTATATTAGCGGCGGAGGCTTCGGGTTACTTTTCAGAAAATATGGTACTGCTGGTGATAATGTAGTAGATGTTCAATTCATCGACGTAAACGGAAGGGTTCTTGACAGAAAATCCATGGGGGAAGATTTGTTTTGGGCGCTTCGAGGCGGTGGCGGCGGGAGTTTCGGGATTGTCCTGGCGTGGAAATTAAGTCTTGTTTCTGTTCCAGCAAACGTGACGGTGTTTTCCGTCAGCCGGACCTTGGAACAAAACGCGACCGAACTCATCCACCGATGGCAATACATCGCTCCCCGTCTTCCTGATGAAGTATACCCCTCCGTCCAACTAAGAGCCATTAATTCAACTCAGGACGGGAGGAGAACAGTTGTAGCTTCCTTTGTTACAATGTTTCTCGGCACCATTGACGAGCTTCTTCCATTAATGGAGCAGAGATTTCCCGAGCTAGGATTAACAAGGCAAGATTGCACTGAAATGAGTTGGGTCCAATCGATTCTTTACAACAACGGAATCCCAAACCAACCCTTGGAGGTTTTGCTCAACAGAACTTTCAGGAACCCCGTCACCACCCCGTACTACAAAATCAAATCCGACTATGTCAAGGAACCCGTCTCCGAAACAGGACTGAACGGCTTGTTTTCTCAACTCACCGAGGAAGCCGCCGCATCAACCGTCATCATCCTCTTCGCTTACGGCGGAATCATGGACCGGATACCGGAGAACGCTACACCATTTCCACACCGAGCTGGGAATTTGTACAAAATCTTTTACAACGTTGGTTGGCTAGAGGGAGACTACGAAAGCTCACAAAGACGCCTCGATTGGGCTCGAAGAGCTTACAATTATATGACACCTTTCGTCTCGAAATCTCCACGAGAAGCCTACGTTAATTATAGAGATCTCGACATTGGTTCCAACAATATAGGCTATACAAGCTATGCACAGGCTAGTGTTTGGGGTCGTAAATATTTCAAAGACAACTTCGATAGATTGGTGCAGGTGAAGACGAGAATCGATCCAGAAAATTTTTTCAAGCATGAACAAAGCATCCCTCCTCTGTGAATGATTCATTAAAGAAACCAAGTGCAATAAAAGGTTTAGACGTACATAGTATTGCTAAATAAAAAGTTTGGTGAGAATTTATTTCTCCTAATTTGTATTTGATGTTCTGAACTTGATTAGTTTTATTTTTTTTATTTACTGATGTGGTAGGACACAATTTTATACAAATAAATTGAGAGATGATATATCATTTAAACAAAATTCAATAATTTTATTTATGCAAATTTTATGTAATGTAAGACTAAATTATTTTATATGTTGGTAACACATTAAATGTTATGTTGCATTACATTAATATCATTTAATTGTAGACTTTGTATCTATTAGACTTAAATCATTTTACTTTTAGTATTGAATTTTATATTTTGGGCTCAATTATGGCACTAATTTGTTAAAATCATTAAGACGCGATTGTCTCTTTCTTATAAATTCTATTTTGTGTGTCAATTTTTCATTAAACTTTAAGAAACTTCAATTTTAAGCACTAAACTAAAGTTTATGTATCAATTTGGTCCCTGAAAAATCATCAACTCCTTTTATCATCATTCACAACCAATTATTACATGTATTCGATCGTCATTTATAGCAAGATCGATACAGAAAAATTTATTTCATTCATCTTTTTTTTCTTGGATTGGTTTTCAATCAAATTCAGTCAAACCAATGAAAGTCCATGTAAAGGTTTGATGCTTAAATGTCTCGATCTTCTCTGACAATCATCTGATGAGACTAGTTTAGAGGTATATTATTCGCTTCTCGAAAGAGTGCTTCTCATCTTTTACATTTTTGAACAAACATCCAAAATCCTAAATTCAAGAAAACCCGATAAGATTAGTTCATCAGAATCTATGATGACTAAAAGGGTGTCGAAGAATTATAATACCAGGCAACAACTAAAATTGTATGAAAAATCCCCAACTTTGATGAGGTAAAAAAAATAAATTTCACGTCAATACCAAACTACCGCATTATTTAACTGTTGTTAGTTTAACAACTCAATCCTTTAGTTAAACTTGAAATTAAAATTTAATGTTAAAGTTAAATAAATTTATAATTTAATAATAAAATCAAATATAAACTCTAAAGTTCGCTGACGTTTAGACTAATTTTCCCTATATGATTACTTGAAAATGATTATTTTAAGAGTTAAAGGTTTTATTTATTTATATATAAATAAATATTTTTGCGTGGATAAGTATGCTATTGACTAAAGCTTCACCTATAATTGCGTAACCCATCTTGAACCGGCACGACTTGACAAGTATGATTTACTTTTGAATATAATATTCTTGTGAATCCTATGTACACACTTTAGTGATTTGATTGAATGTCTAACACTAATTAATAATTGCTAAAATAATTCGTAGAGGCAATTGAAAAAATTATGACTTTATCAACCAATTTTCTTCTAAAGTAATAACGCGGATTATTATTTGGTTTAATCCAAATTTACTATTAATGAGAAAAATGTTATATTATTTAAATTTATTATTAAATATATTTATCCATTCAGTTTTAGTTTTATTGATGTAATTATTATAACATAAAAAATATATTGATTCAAATATATTTCCATACGCAACATCACTTGATTTAAGAATTTAAATAGAATAAATATACTTTTCTTCAAGAATCTATCTATATATTATTGAGTTTATTCGATTTCATTGTTATTTCTTATCAGTTGAATCGATTTTCCTTTTACCAATTTAATCAAACAATAGTTTTATAAACCAGACCAGACTAGCACAATTTCTTTTAATGAAAAATAAAGCAGCCAATAATAGGGCAAGACTTTGAAATTTCCAAAGGATGTAATTTAAAGTCAACCATTTGCAGTCTCAAGAATACAAAGTATAAGAAACGAAAGGTCTAATTCTATCACAAGCTTTCCTACATCGTTTTGACGGAGATTGAAATTAAGGATACCAACTAGGCCTGTAAATGAATTGAACGTTCAGCGAACCGTTCATGAACCGTGCGGTGGGAAGTTCGTTTATGTGCGTTTATTTATTAAATGAACGAACATAAACAAGAAATTAAATGAACGAACATGAACATAGGTCTCGTTCGTTCATTAACGTTCGTGAACATTCAGTTATGTTCGTTCGGTTATATTCGTTTATGTTCATTCATTTATGTTTAACCCAATCTTCTTAAATCAATTTTGGTGACCAATTTGTAAGTATCTTAAAAATATTAATTAATCTAACATTATGCTGACAAACTCCATACTTAACCCAATTTTATTTGGAAAACCCAACAATATTAACATGGTTTAGTTCTTTTTGAACGATCCATAAGCTGCATACCCAACACCGTCAACATCCACTGCGTCGGAACCCTATGTGACTGCGCCACCAGCTGGTTATCTGATGAGCAAAGAGGAGTCCGAATTTTCAACTTCTACATAGCACGAAACTAAGGACATGTTTGTTTGATCCCCAAGGATTAAGGTCGACAATCATATGAAACGCAATCTGTGTTCATCTCGACTGTTGTTTAAGGAAAGAGGAAGAAAGAAAGTGGAGGAACGTTATGCAATCCCACATCAGTAGCAAACAAGCAGCTCGGGGTTGGTAACTTATATAAAAGAAGATGGGGGAGAATAGGTTTAAGCATCTTTGCGCTTGGGGCAATGTCGAGCTTGAATTGAGCTTAGAATCGAGCTTGAATTGAGCTCAGAATCGAGCTTGAATTGAGCTCAGAATCGAGCTTGAATTGATATCAGAATCGAGCTTGAATCGAGCTTCAATCGAGCTCGAGTCTCGAGTTTTAATCGAGCACTTAATTTTTTTTTGAGTTCGGGCCTTTTCGAGTTCGAGTCGAGTTTCAATATTATATTTCGAGTTCGAGTTGAACTTGATAATTTTAAGCTCGCGAGTTTTTGAGTCGAGTTGACTTTGAAAGTTTTCGAGTTCGAGTCGAGCTCAGCAATACTCGAGCTTGACTCGGCTCGTTTACACCCCTAGGTAGGGTCTCCAACGTTTATGTTCATTTATGTTCGTGTTCATTTATGTTTGTGTTCGTTTATGGTCGTTTATTTATTAAATGAACGAACATAAACATACTTCCGTTCGTGTGCGTTCGGTTCGTTTACAGGCCTAATACCAACGTATTGGGTCGATTCGAGTTTTTGATGGACTCAATTGAGTTCGAGAGACATATCTTTTTCATTTGAATTTAATTTGATTCAAGTATAATAAGATTTATATTGATTCAAACTTTAGAAAGGAAAAAAATCTTCATTCCGTCCGATCTGATATTAGAATTATTTTTTTCATAAAATAGAGATTTAATTGAGAAAATATAAAGAGATGAGTATTATAGCAATTATCTCTAAATATATAGGAAAGTCATATTATTTCAGATCGAGTCAAATAAAATTGACCCTAAAATCAAACCAGACCTAACCTCATATTTTAAAAAACCTTACCTGAGTCTAAAAGATTTTAAATGTTTCTATCAGATAGAGTTAAGTCAAAACTTGTCATATTTGAATTAAATTAAGGGTATGTTTGTTTAACGGAAAACAAATTCCGTAAAATGAATTACATTTCTTGAAAAACTTTTTCTAGAAATCATTTCATGGTGTTTGGATGATGTTGTGTAATTCATTTTTCATTGGTTGATAATTTTTTTTAAAAAATTCTTTATTATAGGCATCGAATACAATAAATAATATTATTTTTAAAATATTAGAATAATTTAATTAATATTTTTATTAAATGATACTAAAATAACAAATTAGTAGTACATATATAAAATAGTAATGTTTTGAGTGTTTATGCTTTGAAATGAAAAGTTCGTAAAATGATTTATGGAAAATAAGATGGTAAGTCATTTTCCAAAAAATGCAAAGGAAATTCAGTTGACCAGAAAAATGAATTACATTGACCATCTGTTTTTCACCAACCAAACACTGAAAAATGAGGAAAATATTTTTTTTCAGAAAACCAATTACAGAGAAACAAACAGACCTTAATTAAAATTTTAAAATCAAAAGAGTGTAAAATAATAAAATAATTATATTGAAATATAAAAAATGAATTTACAATTTATTCACAATACAAGTTTTTAGATTAAAGATAAATTTGACGATTTCAACATCCAAACTTAAAAATTAAGAGGGGACATACAATTTACTTATAATGTAAGTACTTCATATGAAATTTTCAATGAACAATGGGGTATATGTGTCTTTTAAGAATATTCTAATACGAGTTTTGAATAGTGGTTCTAGGTTTGAACAACTGTATTTCCAAGGTGTATACGTTATCAATAATTAAGTAAGACTCTAAATAAATATTATCTAATAATCATCTGAAACTATTTAAATAATAATAATAATAATAATAATAATAATAATACATTAGCATAGTAATTGTCAGAAAATAATAATAATGATGTGGTAGCATAGTATTTTTTTAAAGTAATATGGTAGCAAAGTATTCTGTTATGGGTGTAAATGAACAGAGTGTTCATCCGTTCATATAATGTTTATTTTTTTTCGTTTATTAAGTTAAATAAACGAGTATGAATAAAATTTTATGTTCATTTAATAAACAAATGCACACAAACATATGTGTGCTGGTTCGTTTATGTTCAAGAACAAGATCATTTATAAGTTTGTTTAACAACTCGTTTATAAGTTCGTTTACTCAATTCTCATTTTTTTACATTCAAAATATTGATAAATGAATGAACTAAACTAAACATATGATAAACTTTGGAGTTCAAATTGTGAAGCTTAAGGACCGATGGTGTAATTTCACCATTTTGATGAACATGTTTACAAACATATTCACGAACTTTAAATGAACATGTTTATAAACATAAACGAACAAACACCTTTAAAAAACAAACAAACACAAACATAATATTAAAAAAATTAAATGAACATGTGATAAACATTAACACCTTCAAAAGTAGACAAACGTTAGGTATGATTTTTAAAAAATGTCACATCAATAATTATGTTAACTTTTTAACGTCAAATACCAAATTGAAACCTAAACTAAACGTTAGATATGATTTTGAAAAAAATAAAGTTTGGA